TGCTGGATTCGAAGGATGCGAGTTCTCGCCAGCGATGACCTGCTTGCCTTGCAGACGCAAGCGTACTCCACCAGCTTTCCCACGACCACATCTTCCGTCCCCGCCACCAATGCAGCACCCGCTGCTGCTGTGCGCATGTGCATGCGTCCCTGCGTGGTGAACCCAGCATCCTCAGCGCCATCGGCGCCAGCGGCAGTGAGATACACATCTGCTCCTCCGCGCCGGCCGGACCTCCTGCAGTCCGTGTACAGCAGCAATGCCAGTCCTTCGGCGTCCGTGGCATATGCAGATCCGTTGATGGCGTCGTCCACGTTTGCACCGCGCGCGGGGCGGCCGGCTGCACCTGCGGCGGTCCGGGCAAGGGCGGGGCCTGCGCTCACTCGCCGCGCGCACGAGGCCGACCGCGACTTTGTGGAGGAGCACAGGCGCTTCCTGACGAATGTGCGGCGGGAGGTGGATGCGCTGGCATCGTCATCGTCGGCATCGTCGTTGCGGGTTGGCAGGCGCGCAGCAACAGCAACAGCGCACCGCCGCACATACGGCCACCACCACCAGCCGAACCAGCAGCAGTATGCCGACGCGGGCATGTTGGCTTCGCCTGCCGTGGCTGCTGGCCACTATGGGATTCGCCCGCACCAGCCCATGCGGCTGTCGCTTGGACGCAGCTGGCGCGACCTGTCCTTGAACAACGCGCCCACGGTGCTCTCGCCCTGAAGCAGTCGTGAATGAAGCGGCTGACCTTTTTTTTTTTTTTTTTTTGTTTGGGGGGAGGGGCGTGAGGGAGGAGCATAATTTTGCTTTGCTTCTGTTTGTGTGTGTGTGTGTGTGTGTGTGTGTGTGTGTGTGTGTGTGTGTGTGTGTGTGTGTGTGTGTGTGTGTCGATGTGTGTTATCCCTTCCCCCCCCCCCGCTTTGACTCTTCTCCTCCTCCCCCTTCTCTCTTTCTTTGTTACATCTGGGTTGCAATTCGCTCTTGGCTTGATATTTCCGCCTTCCCAACAACAACAACAAACTTTTTTTTGTTTGTTTTTTTGGCCTGTTCGCATTTGTCCATATCTGCGCTGTGCATACTCCGATCTCCCACTGCGCGTGTGTGTTCATCTCTTAGCTAGTAGTCCCTGTGTTTCATACATCGCACGCTGACGAAGAAAACGGGGCAGGCGCAGAATTGAGGTGGGAGAGGCGCCGAGACGAAGAAGAACAAGAAAGCGGTGAAGAAGAAGGAGGAGGAAGGGAGGTGGAGGAGGAAGGGACCACTGCTGCCGCAACAACAACAACAACAACAACAACAACAACAACTTAAACAACAACAACTTAAACAACAACAACTTAAACAACAACAACAACTTAAACAACAACAACAACAACTTAAACAACAACAACTTAAACAGCAACAACAACAACTTAAACAACAACAACTTAAACAGCAACAACAACAACAACTTAAACAACAGCAACAACAACAACAACTTAAACAACAACAACAACAACAACAAGCAGCAGCTTCAAATGGCTGGCGGCCAGTGCTCCACAGTACGAATCATCCTGCCGCGCGAGATTCAAATGCATGTCCTTATTTGGGCACCTGTCATTTGGCGTTCGCCACCGTTTTGAAAAACGGCTTGAAACACGTGTTTTCTCCAAAACACCAGATGATATTCTTGAACCTGAGCAACCGACATTTTCAGGCGCGTGCAATCAAGCTTTTCTCGAAAGACCCAACTTCCACGCAACCGGCGTTGCCCCACAGCAACCTACCATACGCGACCAAACGTTCGCACGAATTCGGTACGCTTCGACTTTCGCGACTTTTGGGCGTCTCCCTGAACGCCACTGTAAGTGATGTGACGTGAACCGCGTTCCCACTGACGGACCAACAAAGATGATGTGATGGGGTTTCTTTGGTCAGCTTCCCTTTCCCTCGAGGCGCGCAACCACGTGCGCACAAAGGCCTAAGCCGTGCCTTGATGGTGGCTTCCCACACACGTCACAGCCACGCCACACAACCCCACACAACCCCCAACCCGCCTGCACTTTGCCTCTTTGCCTCTTTGCCTCATTGCACATTCCTTTGCCTGTTTTCAAAGTTTGCACGCAACACGGCAACCGGGACAACGTGCAGAAAGTGCGAGGCTCACAAACCCCAAAGCGCAAGGCAACCACACGCGCGCACGTGTGGGTGGTTGTTGTGTGTGTTGATTTCCGTTGTGTCGTTGGTTTCAAATCACCGAATATGTATAAGAAGGACCCAACCCTTTTGTGCGTTTGTGGCGGCTGTGGCCTTTTGCGCTTTGTTGCGTTCGCTTCCGCAACTGTCGCGTACTCTTGCTTGAAAAACCGCGCCCTCAATCAACCGCTGGCCTGGTGTCTGTTCGTTAGTGGATTCCCACGAGAAAACAACAACAAAGTGGCGGCAACACCACACACCACTGCACGCACGCACGCACACAAACACTGCGTGCACGCGCTCGCTTGGTTTTGGGAGCCAAGCAGCGAAGGAAAAAGGCTCAGCTGTGCTGCTGTTTCGCGTCGTGAATCGTGAGTCGTGTGCGTGCGTGTGTGTGCGTGCATGAGAGAAAGAAGGGTTTCGTTGCGACTGAACGCGGTGCAATCATGACTCTCACGCACGGGTGTCATTTTTTCCATTGCGCGTCGCACCGCTGCATCCCACCTTACCCACTGCCATCTCGTCACTTACCGTGCTTAGCTCGTTCGCGTGCGACCTTGCACACGCTGCCATCCCCGCCGCCCCCAACGTCTCAGCAGCATCTACCTTTGCGGTTCGCCAACCACCGACCCACCCGACCAATCTGCTGGCAGTCAGGAGTACCCAAGCACCCACAGAACCAACCAGCCCACAAGCAAACCTACGCAACGTGCCAACCCACGCAACCAACCAACCAACCCATCTTGAGCCGTGTGCCATCGTCGGGAGACCTTTGGCCCCAAGAATCAAATCTCAACACACACGCAACAAGCGCCCGCCCACGTTCTGCTTCGTCCTTTCTGCACGATTGTAACCTACCCCTTCTCCCCACTTCCCCCGAAACCAATTGCCGCAAGATCTCATCATCCAACCGCAGCAACTAAGAGCTACACGCGCCCACCGCCACAGACACCACCACCAACGCCAAACGCCGGCTTCTTGCGTCCTCACGCGCACTCTCCCATCATCACTTGCGTCGCGTCGTTTCTGCGAAACTGCATCCATCCAGTTTCTGGCGTGCAACAACTACTGCACCTTACACACACACTCGCGGCTTCCCCTGCTCCCGTGTTGCGTCCTCCACAGCAACGCAAGCTCCCTGCAACCCAAGTGTTTAACACACGCGCACCAAACCCTACACACGCGAAGCAACACATCATCAGCCTTCATTTATTGCTCCCACCCTTCCCACCATCATCATCGACCGCAACAGCAACGGCAACAGCAACAGCACATCTCCTCCGCCCACTTCGTTTGCGCTGCGCTTTCAAACCAAACACCAGCCGATATCCCTCTCGTCTTCCCTTGAAGTATCTGTTCTTCTTTCACCGCTACGTGTTTCGTTTGAACCACCCGCTTCCCGTTGACTTTCTCTTTGAGCGTGTTTGAATCACCGCACCCGCGCGACTTGCTTCATCTTGGTGGCTGTAGCTGTTGTGCCTTCCTCCCCCCTGGCGTTGTGCTAACCCGTTTCATCTCTTTATCAACGGCACAACATCACATCACCACACCACAACACACCACAACACCACAACACAACACAACACAACAAGCCACCAACGACAACCTCCTTCCTTCCAGTCCCCTTCTTCTTGCCTTCTCTTCCTGCCCCAATCGACTGCCTCGTTCTTCCAACGAGACTTGCCGTTGCGTTCGCTGGCTTGTGTTGCTTTGACACCGCCTTTGATTACGGTTCTCCATCATCACATCACAGCACCAACGTTCTGCCGCACGCCCATTCCCCCCTCCCTTGACCCTTCTCTGATTCTTCTTCTCTGATTCTGATTGCGGAGTGCCTCTCCTCGTTGCTTCGGCCCTCTTTCATCCATCCAGCTCTCTCGCTCCCTCCCTTTCATCTCTGCTCTCCCCGTTCTTCTTTCTTTCTTTCTTTCTTTCTTTCTCTCCCTCCCTCCACCTTCATTTCTCCGCCATCCCGTCTCCCCACCCAAACACCTCCGCTTCCATCACCGCATGAGCCGCGCCCGCACACCGCCGCCGCCGCCAGCAGCACCACAGGCCACCATGGACGCCCTCTCATACGCAGGCAACACGCATGACGCCCAGCACCACCCGCATCACGGCATCGGCCCCATTGCATGCCCGCCGAGCCAGCTGCCGCACCTCCACCACCATGCACAGCAGCCCATCGCCACCAGCACAATGATGGACCAGGCAAACGACGCGTTGCACGCGTACGCCAACCACAGCCACTTCAACAACACCAGCGGTGCCGTGAACGATGAGGTGGCACACGACATGCTTGCACACGGCATGCCAGGCTCCACCTCCGCCAACGCCGTGCTCTACCACGGCCAATCACGCCACCGCTTCAGCCAGAGCATGCTGCCTGATATCCCCGAGGACATGCCTCTTGATGATGAGCTGGTATCACCCCGCCCTCAACAGCAACAGCAGCACCAGCAGCGGCCATTCACCGTCGCAGGCCACCGCACGCGGCACATGCAGTACGCAAGCAACAGCACCGGCTTTGCGCATGCTTCCATGCATGCAAGCAACATGATGGACACCGATCACCAACACGGGCCCAGCATGCATCAGCGCCAGCTCCCGCGCCACCACAGCGACACAATGCTTGCGCACGGCTACGATCAGCAGCGCCAGGAGCAGCTCATGCTGCAGCACCACCTGCACATGGCACAACACGACCAGCAGCAGCAGCAGCCTGATTTTCACAGCGCACAAATGCTTGCATGCAAGCAGCAGCAGCAGCAGCAGCAACAGGCCCACGGCAGCATGTTCACGCGTCTCGACAGCGGGCTCGATTCCCACCACGAGGACCAAGGCTTCATGCCAACGCCAAACTTCAACACTACCACCACCACCACCACCACCACCAACAACAACAACAACAACAACAACATGCAGCACATGGAGCCACACCCGTCGTTTCCAAGCCCGTTTTCAACTCGCTCCTCTGGCGAGTTGGAGGACAACAACAGCAGCAGCAACAACAACACCGCTGCGGACGATATGGGCACAGAGGCGCCACCACGAACCCCGCACCATCTCCAGCCGTGCCCTCGTGACCAGCCAGACGGCGCAGAGTACATCAACCCAGACACGCTGGCGCACCTGCTTGCCTTCCAGCCGGAGCACGTGCTGCTGCTGGACTGTCGCGCCACGCTCGACTTCAACCTCTCGCACATCCGCGGCGCCACTCCCGTGTGGTTCTCGCGGCTCATGCTGAAGCGCCTCAAGCGCAAGGCAGGCACCATCACCATCACAGACCTTCCAGATGCACAGACGGAAGCGCTGTCGAAGCGCCACGACGCAAACGTGCTCACGGTCATCTACGACGAAGACTGCTCGTACTCCATGGGAGATGACAACGCCGTGAGCATGCTGCACAACATGCTGCGGGCAGAGGGGCTGCAGCCCATGCTGCTGCGTGGCGGCTTCAAGGCCTTCCGTCGCCTGGTGGACGGTGACTTGGTTGTCTCGCAGCACGAGGAGGACACGCACCCGCGCGCACCGCGCCTGCAACGCGTGCTCCAGCCGCATGACCTCTCCATCAACGACTCTGTGCTGCGCATCCCCGCCTCCAAGATCTTCAGCTACCTCTTGGTCGGCAACGCACGCCAGGGCCACAGCAGCGAGTTTATGGCCGAGCACAACATCACGCATGTGCTCAACGTGAGCGAGGAGCCGTGCGCGAGCAACGTGTTCCTGATGGTGCAGTGCATGCAAGTGCCATTGATGGACGGGCCTGGCCACGACCTGCTGTCCATCCTGCCACAGGTCATTCAGTTCATTGAGTCTGCCCGGTGCAGTGGCGGCCGCGTCCTGATCTACTGCAGCAACGGCCTCTCCCGCTCCATCGCCATCCTCCTTGCGTACATGATCTCCACTCGCAAGTACTCGCTCACCTCGGCCTACCGCACGGTGCAGACGCTGCGCCCGCTCGCCGCCCCGCACGTGTGCTTCCTCACGCAGCTTGTTGAGTACGAAGGGATTGTGCGCCAGGCGTCACAGCACTGCAAGCGCCGCACACGCTCAGCCGATGTCTGATGCACGTGCCAAACGGAGATAGAGAGAGTGTGTGCGAGTGCGTGTGCGAGTGCGTGTGCGTGTGCGTGTGCATGTGCATGTGTGTTCATCGTTCATTTGTTCATCGTTCGCTCGTTCCTTCCACGAACACGCATGCCCACTGCCGTATGCTGGCCATTCTTACTTGCTCCTTGCGCCCCTCAGCCACCACATCTCGCTCTCGCGCGCGTGTTTGCATCCGTGCATGCGTCTGTGTTAGTGTGGTTTTGCCTGAGGTGGCTTGCAGACCTGTATTGTTTGGTCGTGCGCTTTGGTACTAAGATCTCTCTTTGTTATTGTCAACCCCCCCCCGCCCG